ATTAGAGTTCTAAAAGATGGAAAACCTGGTCATATTAAGTGATACTTTATATGATTTTCAGACTGGAATTTGATTTAGTAATTCTAACCGTATTACAGTTTTTATACTACTTTGGTGTAGGTATTATAAGATTCAAGTATCTTCCAAACGTAAAAAGATATGACCTCAGGTTGTGTAATTCATGAGAAAGGAGTTCCTATATTGTGTTTTAATAATATCAAAGTAGCACTCAAAGTGTATAGTAATTAATAGTATATTGTGCTCTCTAAAAGAAATGTTTGATGTCGTTGATGGAAATCCAAGCTCATGCATTGGGTATGGATGGATTGCCACTTGTCATCCAACCTGCAATTGCACTTGCTGATGGAGAAACAACATGCTAAAATGGCTGAATGGACGAAATTCACAAATTAAGAATCAAAGATTTTTAAACCTTAGAGAGTATATGAAAAAGCAAGATATATTTCACAATTGTGGTACTCCTCACTTACGCTATTAGTACGTAGAGGAAGAAATGGCCCAGACTTAGGAATTGGCCCTACAATGGGACCATTGGTTGATGGCGGCGGCCTTGCTCCGTTAGTAGGAGCACATGTGTGATTCGTAGGTGTTTTAATGTCAGGTTTGGGTCGAGGGTTCTGTCAAAGCTGGTGCTGCCAATTAAGACTAAAAGCAATACACATATAATAAGCATAGTAATTAATTAGCTAATACAAGTTCATGAAATAAGTAAGTAAATAGATAAAAAGGGGTCAGGTATTTTAGCCTTGCCTGGATAAACCAATTGCATCTCCTCTCTCCAAAACTGCACATTTCAAATGAGAGAACAAAACTGATGATTTAATACTTTCATTTCAACTAAAAGGAAAATGCAAGGAGAAGAAAAATAAAATCTCATAAAAGGTTTACACATTATATCACGAAACTCTAACTGAATGTGTGTCACATTAGTCTTATGAATGTCATTGCCATCGATTCCTCTTTTTTATAGTAGTTTTTCCGAATCCAATGAGACCACAGAACAAACTTCAGTAAGATTAAGAAATTGGAAAAGCCGAAAAGCAACTAAAGATAAGCATTTTACATTTTTACTCTAATTGTTGGAACTGAATGGCCTACAACAAATGGACTTTGGTAAGATTAAGATATGGGAAAAGCACCTAGAGATAATCACTTTATACTCAATGATGAAACTGAATGGCCTGTATGTTTACTGAATTGTGAGTCAAGAAAACATTCTTGAATTCACATCAATAGCATTATTTATTAATGTATGTTCTGAAGAGTACTGGATGCTGGCTGTTCAATAATTTTTGGAACCATTCATTACAAATGAAGCTTCCAATTATTTAAACAGTTGGTATATGCTCAATATTATTATGACCAAGAAAATCAATTTGAACATATTTCCAAAACGATAGTATTGTTGATAGTATATGCACATTAACAAAGAATTGTCAATTATCACCAGTGATTTGGATAGAAAGATTCCCAGAGCTAGCATCCATAAAGTCATAATTGTAATTTTATCTAACAATTTGGAGTTAAGTACTATCCTTCAAGAAAATTTATATCAATTTCAATAGAATCAAATTGAACTTCACATACCTTAAGAGCATGTGAAAAGCCAGATTGGTAAACTAAATTCGTAGCAATCTCACATATATCACATGCACTCACCTTCCAAAACTGTTAAAAGAAAAGAAAAATTTAACATCTCACATGTACAATATAAAGAAGAATCATGAGAAGGAGCTTTATCGAAGCTGCAATGTTGTATTCCTCCACCAATGGTTCTTTAGTAAAATGGATTTGTAATGAGTTATTTTTTGACAAAGAAACATTAAGGCACCATAAGAAAAACATTGGAAAAGTTTTTTTTAATGATAATACAGAAATAAGGAATTGTTGCTCAATGGAGACATTGTGAGGTAATCTGGGCAATTAAAAAATGACCATTAGTTTTACTTTTGAAAGACCTAAGCGTACAGTAGTACAACATTTTCAAACAAACCGCAGCCCACATGCAAAATTTATGGAAATAATAACCTTAAACATTTACAAAACAAAATGCTAATGAGAGCAAAGCATGTATAAATAGTGAAACAGTCCAACTAAGGTAAACTGCTAGCAAGAGATGCATAAATTTACACGCTCTAAATAGAATACACTATGAATGAATAGATGTGACAATTGTTCTCATAACAGGTATGTAGGCTGTCTAAAAATCACAATAGATAGCTTATTCAAACAAGCTCCGACAACGGAGGTCACAATCAGACGACTTCCCAATCACTGCATCCGCAACTCCACAATTGCCACAAACGCGACCTCACCTCTGAGATGATTGATCTTGATGGCTGTGACAACAGCATGGCTAATATCGTAGCAACTATTAGAGATGCTGATGAGCAGTGGGACGATTTCAGAAATAAAAAGTTGGACTCAGTTGGTGAGTTGCTTGGTAGAGAGCTATGGGCGAATATTCATCTTTAAGACACTATGGATGTTGATTCCCGTCTAGCTCCTACAACGAAAGCTACAATCAAATAGCTTTCGGGTCGATGATCGAAACATATAGTCGAATAGTTGCTTGGTAGAGAGCTATGGGCGAATATTCATCTTTAAGACACTATGGATGTTGATTCCCGTCTAGCTCCTACAACAAAAGCTACAATCAAGTAGCTTTCGGGTCGGTGATCGAAAGCGGCAAATAGAGGACTTTTCACATAGATCGAGAAGGGTTACAATTCAACGACACTTCCGACAACTGATGAAAACTCTATGCAGCAGTCTTCACAATCTACAGTGAAAGTTACAATCTGACGACTTTCACACCCCACAACAGCTAAAGCCAGGATTACTGAACAACGGTCCTTGCAACGCTCTACAGAAGAAGTTACAAATCAGCTAACTCCTTCTGAAACGCGGGTGTCATCCCCGCGTCATAACTTTGGAAATGAAGGCGACCCTCGCGTCGTCAATGCACAAGCCAAACGCGAGCGACCCTCGCGTTCAATGGTGTTCAGCTAACACCCAACTTCGCGTCTCAATTCAAAGAACACGAAGTTGAGGTTCTGAACGCCAGATTGGGCGTTTGACTCACTCAAACATAAGTCGAACGGTTCCAAAACCGTTTATCCCACGTCCTAAGGGATTTTCGCCCACGTAGGAGCGGATATAGGAGTCAGTTACAATCTCCTATCCCCCTATAAAATATCAACAAACTCGACAGAGTTAAAGGGGGGGAGATCGGATTTTTGATAATCAGATCAAGGGTTGGATTCTTTATCATCAAAACCACTCAGGTTTGGAGATTCGGCAACAACAGCAACGAAATCCTTGGAGATAGGATTTTTGAACCAACCTCAGAAAATCAAATCTGGGAGAATCCTTCAACAACAGAAAAACAGCTTGATTATTAACCGAATTTTCGGTTCCAACAACTCTATTCACAGAGTTCAAACTCGTTCAGAGTTCTTAAACTCATTCAGAGTTATTCATAAAACTTTCCACGAAAGTTCATCGTTCCCACGAGATAAAGACGGTCGGATCGTCAACGGAGAGCAAGTTCGACGCAATCAATCGAAGGAAGCACTCCATCGCTGCCAAGAAGAACCCAGTTTTAAACAAAGGGGAAAATCAAATTCGTTTTCCTCTCTTTTGTAATCAAGTTGTAACCGAGATCAAAGGAATCAAAGTCACATTTTCTTTATTCTCTTCTTTACAATTTTTCCAACAAACAAGGTACAAGTACAAAATAATTGACATGGTTTAGAAAACTATGGTTTGATTTCAATTTAGGTTGTGAGCATCCATTGTCAACGAATGTCAAAATACACACACTTCCGTGCCTTCTTATTTTTATATGTTAGATATTTTTCTCAATTCGATTAAAAATATTCACCCCATTCAAAAAAGGTAGAGTAAATGTTGTTGCAATTTTCGCCATTTAACTAATTTTGAAATGGCAAAAGCGGTCTATTTTCATACAGTACTTCATGCTCAGTGCTCATGTGATGGCACATAACCCATACAGGTAAGAGAAAGTATCTCTTTTCCCTTCACAAATCTTCTGAATTGGCAGCTAGTAGACAGTGAGTTACTTATAAATGTTTAACTGATTGAGTAGAAGTAGCAAATAATTTACCTAAGAAACAACTGACATCACATCCCCCTGCCCTTGCGAGTTATTTTTGGGTGCAGGTGTTGGTGATGATCCAAACCCCACGTATTTACCTCCTTGAGATGGTGGAAGCCCTTCAGGACTCGAATCATTCTCTTGCATTTTTCTCGCAAAGAAGCTCTCCTTATTAGCAGTTGATGCCTCATATTCCGATTCTCACAAAGTTGCATTTTTCACTTGCATTACCCGCTCTAAAATCCCCTGCCGATTGATTCCTCCACAATCTCCATAGACACCTTCCAAGTCAAGAAGAAAAGAATTACTCTTTCATAAACGAACATATTGGCATATGACACATAATGCAATTAATACAAATATAATAGGTTGCGCTCTTACAAAGAATTGTTAAAGCTAAAATAATTAAGGTTGGATTAAACATAAGGATGTTTTGGCATCCAAGGTTTGCAAGTATAGGGCCATGTATCATCGGGATTCGAGTTGTATGATCCAGATCAGAACATTATGATAAAAAAATGTATCTTATGTTTACCAGCCCTATTTGAATAAGTGGGGCATTGAGCTTATGAGGAAGTTATTTCAACTTCCAAGTAGAGATTTATTAGATTCCAATAACACAACCTATATGTTAGATCAAAGTATACTTTATGTATATGTTAGCTCAAAGTATGCTTTATGATCCCTTCTAGAAGAAAACATGGAACTCCTTACACCAGAAGAAAAAAAAATCATCAACATGACCAATCAAGAGTGCATAGTTAACACTAAACTGAAAACAACTTTGTAATAAACAAAATTCCAACAAGCTAAAATTGCAGAAGAACAAGCATTATGAGTAGATAACTTGAGTACCTACCGATTGTGGATAGATAACACAAATATTCAAGATTCCCAGAAGTCAATAGATTTTGCAGGTCTTTATGCAAACAAAGCAACTGAAAGAGAAATTTCACACAAACATGAAAAATGTGGTGTTAGCTTAATGGCCTCCTGATAGAGTAAGTCCAATAATATACAATGAGCTGTCTGAAATCAAATTGTGAAGAAGATTTTGGTGAACTTACAGGATCACCAATGCCTGCAATAGGAGGAATGGAGATGAGAAGATGAGTTGCATTTCGCAAGGTAGGAATACTTTCCAATCTAAAAAGGCATTACAAAAATTGAATTACAAAAGTTTTAGACGTCCAGTTTGAAATTTGACTTCCCTCGGTGGCGAGAAGCTAAATAAGGAAATGAGTCAAACGGTACTATAAAGTGTATAGAAGCTCCTTGTCTGCCAAGAAGCACATGTATGGGTGCCCATGCAAACATTATCAATGTAGGAAAAATGAAGTAATAAAAAAAGAGATTGTACTATATACACATGCAGTTCATTCATTAATGTACATGGAATAAAGGTAAATATACTATGTCATTACAAGATAAAAATCATCCAGTTTCAAAGTGCATCCAAACATATTGTGTGAAGACATTATTGAGTTGTAAAGCTAAAACCAGAAGTTTAGCAGAGTTCAACAGAAGATAAAATTAGGATAGCTGAGAGATAACTAATGAAAATAATGTGATTATGTGGTGAAGATATTTAGTAACTTGTAAAGCACAAACCAGAACATCAGCAGAGTTCAACAGAAGATGAAAATTCAAATAGTTTAGAAACAATTAAAATGAAAATAATATGAACAAAAAAAGAATCCATCATGCAGGATCACACGTTATTTAATCTCCAATAAGAATCAATAGAAGGAAATATAAATGCATAATTCACCTGTACACATAATCTCCAGTAAGAAACAATTAATCTCACAAAGCAAAGCGATATTTCTGCTTAATGATTCTTACCATTTGACCTCAGTAGTTAGACCTCCAACAAAAAAGAAAAAAAAATCATATTGAACTTATTTGCAGTTCATAATAGAAATAACTGAATCTAAAATATAGAGGGAGTAACATGAAAAAAAGAAGGTTAAGATATCTATACATTTTCTGATGGTCTCGATCTCATTGCCGCTGCGCCTGGCGGCGTTGACGGCCTTCTCGTCTTTCTTGGTGGCGGCGTTGGGGGCTTTCTTGCGGCGTTGGTGAAGATATTTAGTAACTTGTAAAGCACAAACCAGAACATCAGCAGAGTTCAACAGAAGATGAAAATTTAAATAGTTTAGAAACAATTAAAATGAAAATAATATGAACAAAAAAAGAATCCATCATGTAGGATCACACGTTATTTAATCTCCAATAAGAAACAATAGAAGGAAATATAAATGCATAATTCACTTGTACACATAATCTCCAGTAAGAAACAATTAATCTCTCAAAGCAAAGTGATATTTCTGCTTACTGATTCTTACCATTTGACCTCAGTAGTTAAACCTCCAACAAAAAAGAAAAAAAAATCATATTGAACTTATTTGCAGTTCATAATAGAAATAACTGAATCTAAAATATAGAGGAAGTAGCATGAAAAAAAAGAAGGTTAAGATCTCTATACATTTTCTAATGGCCTCGATCTCATCGCCGCTGCGCCTGGCGGCGTTGACAGCCTTCTCATCCTTCTTGACGGCGGCGTTGGGGGCTTTCTTGCGGACCACCACGGTTTCCAGTCCTGATAGATCGGCCCCACTCCAGCCATGATTACTTCTTATCGAAGGCGATACGATCACCGGCAACGGATTTTTAACGGAGATGAAGAGAAAGAGTGAATGATATGATCTTTTAAATGAACAAAGAGTTAGGGCTTTACAGCTTCTAATTTGTGAGTAACGGAAAAAATGGACCTTTCTTAGTTAATGAAACGAAATATGAGGATAACTTTGTTATATTTACAATAGTTGAAGGGTAATTTAGGGTAGGAAAAGTTTTTCTAGTACTCCCTCTTTTAAATGGTAGATAGATAGATAGATTATTTTTGTCTTATTAATTTTAATTATTCATTTTCTTTTTAGAAGCTATTTTTTGAAGTATTTTTTACTTTTGCAGCACTATACTTTCTCAGGTCAAACTTGGTTTCATGTTGGTCTCAATGATATGTTAATTCAAATTAATTTTGATTACATTTATTTTCTGTCAATTAAATTATCAACATAAAATTTTAAATTGAGTGTAGCCATATAAGTAAACATTAAAGAAAAAAATAATCACAATGCTAAAATTTAGAGATATAAGTAAGCAAAAACTATCAAAGTAGAATCGAGGAACAAATTTTAGTAAGGAAATAAACTAAATATATTTAATCATGGTATTTAACCACGTGCATTGTACGTGCATAAAACCCTAGTAAAGAAAAATAGGTAAGTTGCCAAACATGCTTTAGAGGCTGTTTGGTGTTTATGTTAGTTATCAAACAAGTGATTATCTTCAAGTTTGTGGATTGATTAGGATCCTCTCTCCTTCTAATGAATGGTTCCAGGAGACACTGTTCTTCTCTGCACAAGAAAGAACTCGTAAGAGGCCGTAATTGGGTTTTTCGGTGGTTCCTCCGATGGTCAAGTTAGTAATTGATTTTGACTAGAGGAATATTAAGTCAGTTTTTAGTTTTTGTAAGAGAAAAAACCAAAGAGAGTTACCTCATGCAGCGTCTCCCATTTTTATAGTGGTTTTGAGGGGCAAGAAGGTAACCTGGGCTGAGTCCAACTAGGCAGTTGAATCGGCAGACAGTTGACGTGTGTCGACCTTTGTGAAAGAGGGGTTGTCCAGGTGTTTTCATGCTAAGTGACATCAATTGCTTAGTGCTGACGGGGCCTGATAAGTCATAAATACTTATTGATTGGAGCAATAATGACTTTGTCAGGGCAGTTAATGTAAGGTCAGGCGGCTGTCGGCACCGGGTTTGAGAAAACTACTAACTATCTTAGTCGTCCAGGTGATAGTCGACTATATATGTTGATGGCTTGGGCTGAGTGGGGGGTTACTCGTAGAAGTGATTACCCGGGTTGGATGACAAGTACCGCATTTTGTCTCTGTTACTCTAGATGTCAGTCAAACAGTTGGTCGAGCTGGATTGTTCGGGGAATTAATTGAAGGGTTGGCTAACTAGTACCGCCTTTTGTTTTGGTTACACGAGATGTCGGTCGAACAATTAGTCGAGCTGAGGCAGAGATTATCTTGGTTTTGACTTAGCTGTATAAAATGCAAGACACATGTCCACTGTTTAGTGGAGATTAACAATAATATTTTTAGGGGTATAACATTTGGGAATACTTATAAGTTATGCTAGATTTTAGTGGCTTTGAGCTTTTATGATAAAAATATTATAAAAATTATTTGGCGGAATAGTAATTTGTTTGGTCAAATCTAACTTAGTTACATGAGTTTATAAGTTACCTTTTCAAAAGCTAAGGTATACTAGGTTTTTAAAATGTGATTTATAAGCTAACTTATTTTATATTTTATCAAACATGTAGAAATGAAAATGCTAGCTTCAAAGCTAGTTTGACACCATCTTAGTATATTTTAGCTTTTATGATAAAGTTGGTAAAATAAATTCTTTGGTAAAATAGTAATTTATTTGGTTTTTTTATGTGAGCTTATACGCTAGTTTTTTTTAAACACTATGGTATACTAGGTTTTTAAAATGAGATTTATAAGATAACCTATTTCGTATTTTTGCCAAAGAGGCACAAATAAAAAAACCTAGCTTAAGTGCTAGTTTGACCAAAAAATTAATGCTTCCCAAACAACAAGCACTGTTGGGCTCCGTTTGCAAAAAATGTAAAGGTTGGGTGTTTTGGAAGACGAACTAAAGTTCACGAATATTGCTGAGAAAAGCTAATCCAGATCAGGGGGTTTTGCTTAATTTACCCAAATTCCCATCCGAGCCATTCTTTCAAATCCCTGACTCTCTTCCATCTCTCAAGCGCGGAGTTGTCCTCTCTCATCTTCAGCAGCCGCTGAAACCCTCAAACCCTAGATCGAGAGAGATCTAGAGAGCAATCCAATCGCAATCCATGGCGTCTCGCCGTGTCCTCTCCTCTCTCCTCCGATCATCATCTCGCCGATCCAAACCCTCCTTCTCTAACCCTAGACCCCCTCTCCCGCGCCCCTCTCCCCGCCAACCCACCCAGCCTCCTCGCTCTCCCGTCGCCGTCGAGTACGCCACGCCTAGCACGCCAGCCAGCGCCGCTCCGTGCGAATCCGCGTGCGTCACAAGGGCCCCGCTCCCAGCGGGAAGATCACCGATGAGTTCACCGGAGCTGGATCGATCGGAAAGATCTGCCAGGTCATCGGTGCCGTCGTCGACGTGAGGTTCGATGAGGGGCTGCCTCCGATCTACACGGCGCTCGAGGTTCTGGATCGGGAGGAGAGGTTGGTTCTCGAGGTCGCCCATCATTTGGAGGAGAATGTTGTGAGGACGATCGCTATGGATCTCACTGATGGGCTCGTTCGAGGAGGGAAGGTCTTGAACACTGGATCTCCTATCACCGTAAGATCTCATTCCTTCTTCTTTTGTTAACCCATTTGAGATGATAAAGTTTGCTTCTTTTTTATCTGTTCATCCCCCCCTATATTTAATGTGTTTAAATATAACTGGGAAAGTATTACTTTTTCTGCTGCTGGTTTTAATTTCCACACATATATAAAAAGATGATCTTTCAGCAAATGTTCCCTTTTGCACTGAAATAGCTGGGCAAACAAGTATCATGCTTTAAATATTATGCAGTTTATATGATGGATTTAGACTTTTAGCATTCTATAATATGTTTATAGTGATTTGGGATTTCTTTGATCTGAAATTTAATGCAAAACATAGTTTTAATGATAGATTGCCCAGTATATTTGCTGTTTTTTTTGTCAAGGGCCAAGATCTAATTGGTTTTACATGGGATTTTGGTTTGGTATGTATTTTATTCCCAAAATCCGAGATAATAGCTAGTCCTGTTTAAATTGCCAATTCATCAGCTGCGAGATTTTTGAGCACATAGCATATTCAATCAAACAAATTTCAGTAATTCAATATCCATGTTACTTGCATTTCTGTTATAGCCTTTTAATAGTTTATGTTGTTCCTTTGTTTGTACTTCTTAATACTGGGAAAGTTTACCCATTCTTTTATTCTATTTACCCTAAAAAGCACATTTGGTTACAGACACTTGTACAATGTGTGCAGCAAAAGCAAGAAGGGGAAATGCATTGATTTGGTTAGCAATTTTATGTTCTTTTTCAAAAGATATTGTGTAATGCACATGCAAACAGCAATTCTCGTGCACCCATCCACAAATATTTTTCAGTTTAATAAGAAAAATCACTTGGATAGCTTATGTTTCTATTAAAAAAGTATTTTTGATGAATGTGTATATAATAGGTTGGCAAGAAAATAGCTCATATAACAAGACTGATCAGTTTTTAGTAAACCCGTGTCTGTGTGGCTAGAATTTATTGGATTTTACTACATTTGTGTTTCTTCTGTTGAATGCTAATGGAACCATTATTTATCTGTTTTTTGTGTAATATGTATAAGGACTTAATATACATTTGCTCTCTCAGAATGACTTTTGGTCAATCTATAGCATGAGCCACTCATCACCATTTTCTTTGTGCAATTCCGGCAAAAGACTGCCTCTTTTTAAGTCTTTTATTGATTTTTGATTGTATTATGTTTTTTCCAATCCTCATTAAGTTGAAGCTCTACTGATATGTATCAGATCATGAAGTTTAGTTACATTTAGTAGACTTTACTACGAGTCCTTTCCCTCAGAATGACTTCCGATCATTCTATAATGTGGGTCATTGTATTATATTAGACATTATGTTACTACTTTTGTCTCTCCTGCAAGCAACAAGGAACATGTTCTTTAGTTTTGCTTTTGAGTTTTCTTTGTTGGGCTTTGCTTGTTCTTCATTTTCAATAAATCTGTATTGATCTTTTCTTGCACCGTGAAGTTTATATATATCAAATCTCTAGGGGTCCTCTTAGTATTATCTTCCTCAGAGTGACCGTGGTATCACCAGAGGAAGCTTTGTTATTCTGTGTGGATGCGTCTACCTCAATTGATTACTTATTGGGTTTTTTATTATTATTTCTTAGGTGCCTGTTGGTCGTGCAACTCTTGGACGCATTATGAATGTTATTGGGGAACCCATTGATGAAAGGGGTGATATTAGTAAGTTTACCCTATGAAACTCTTTCTTATGCTTTTAGTTTGATTCATTCATTTATGTGATATTGTTTCATTTTTCTCTTGTCAGAAACAAACCATTTCCTTCCAATCCACAGGGAACCCCCTTCTTTTGTGGAGCAGGCTACTGAACAAGAGATCCTTGTCACTGGAATTAAGGTATTGCATTTGATGTTTTCTTACAGACCTCTGCTATGTCCAGGCTAACTTTTGTCCTGGCTAACTTTGGAAATGTATGCGCTTGCCATCTAAAAGAATTTATAATTTATGAGAATCTTTTTTTTTTAAGACCGTATTACTGACTGGATCTTGCTCATGATTTTTTACTGCGGTTTCTAGGTTGTCGATCTGCTTGCACCCTACCAGAGAGGAGGAAAGATTGGGCTTTTTGGTGGTGCTGGTGTGGGGAAGACTGTGCTTATTATGGAACTTATCAACAATGTTGCTAAAGCTCATGGTTGGTTTCAATGATAACTTATTATTTTAATGAATTTAAATGCTTATTACATTTATTGAAATTTCCATATATCAGGTGGTTTCTCCGTCTTTGCTGGTGTTGGAGAACGTACCCGTGAAGGCAATGACTTGTACAGGGAGATGATGGAGAGTGGTGTCATTAAGCTAGGAGACAAGCAGGTTTGGGAATTGAATGTTTCTCCCTGTGTAGTTCTTGTTTTGCTTGGTTTTTATTTGAAGCCTTTCACCTGATATTATTGTTTTGTTGAATAGAGTGAGAGCAAATGTGCTCTTGTTTATGGGCAAATGAACGAGCCCCCTGGTGCCCGTGCTCGTGTTGGACTGACTGGACTTACAGTTGCTGAGCACTTCCGTGATGCTGAAGGGCAAGATGTGCTTCTTTTCATTGATAACATCTTCCGTTTCACCCAAGTATGCTTTATAGATTTTGCTTTCTAAAATATATTCTTTATGCATGATATTTTGCTATACTCTCAGATGTCCATGTTGTATTTCAGGCAAATTCTGAAGTGTCTTCACTTCTTGGGCGTATTCCGTCTGCTGTCGGTTACCAACCAACACTAAGTACTGATATTGGAGGACTTCAAGAGAGGATTACGACAACAAAGAAGGGTTCCATTACCTCTGTACAAGCTATTTATGTGCCTGCAGATGACTTGACTGATCCTGCTCCTGCAACTACCTTTGCCCATCTTGATGCAACAACTGTGTTATCTCGACAGGTTTGACTTTTATTTATTTCTTTAGAAAAATAACAGGGTTGAGCTTATATATATATATATATATATATATATATATATATAATCTTTTTAGTCATTTTTCTGACTATGGTTGTTGATTCTACTAGATTTCAGAGCTTGGTATATATCCTGCTGTGGATCCGCTTGATTCTACATCTAGAATGCTTTCTCCTAATGTCTTGGGAGAAGAGCACTACAATACTGCTCGTGGTATTCAAAAGGTTCTCCAGAACTACAAGAACCTTCAAGATATTATTGCAATTTTGGGAATGGATGAGCTTAGTGAAGAAGATAAACTGACTGTTGCTCGTGCTCGAAAGATCCAGCGATTTTTGAGCCAGCCTTTCCATGTTGCCGAAGTGTTCACGGGTGCACCTGGAAAGTACGTTGATATTACAGAAAGTGTCAATAGCTTCCAGGTAAGTTACTGTTTATATTCATTGTCAGTCGGTGTGACTTTGATCCTTTTGATTTATATCACATTACTGAATAGTTAACCAGCTAATATCTCCGTAACTTCCATCTGGTTGAATTTTGAATGATAAAAAGTGTAACATAATTGGCAGGATAACTGAACAATAACAAATTTATTTTCAATAAGTAAAATTCCCACCATTCTATGAACATTACCATAGTAGTATTTGATGAAATGACAATGAATTTTAACAGGATAAATATATTTCAAAATGTATTTAAATAATAGTCATAGTAAAGTAGTATTCTGTTGTCTTTATAAGTTCATAAATATATCTTTGTGGTAGTTATTGTTACACCTTAAAACATCTAAAGGGAAATTGAAAGGGCTGCTCAATAAAGCTAATGTTGGAAAGATCTATATGAAGGATTATGTATTTTGTTCTTACAATCTATTTCACATGACGATACTCTAACCTAATTAGTTCGTGAACATTATGTGCAGTGGAACAAAAATGCACGGACACAGAACCTCCCAGTTGTAGCTAATTATTTACCTATAACTTTATTTAGTTCTATACAAAATTGTACTAGTAGGTTGTAGCTAATTATTTAGCTATAATTTTATTTAGTTCTATATTAAATTGTACTGGTGAAATTATGCGCTTAATATTTCAACATTACAATCTTTCCAATCTTTGCTACCCTACTTCTAAGTATTTGCCTATTCTATTGTGTGCCTTTGTAGGGTGTCCTTGATGGAAAGTATGATGACCTGCCAGAGCAATCATTTTACATGGTTGGAGGAATTGAGGAGGTTGTTGCCAAGGCCGAGAGGCTTGCAAAGGAGAATGCTTAACCAAAAGGGGATGTTTATTTTGAGCGCGTGTAATAATCTTAAAATGGATGCAAGCATCCAAAAGGAGATTAATTTTTTTTTGCGAGGTCATAAACATCAGTCCTGTTTTGATCTAGGTTTTGATTTGATGAGAGCAACTGGCTGTTTTCCTCTATTTTTTTTTCAGTCCAATAAGAATGCTAACATTGTGTTTACTTTTTCTTGCATGTGAAATACATCCCTTTCAATTATATATATAATTCGAATGACTTTTAGTTGGGCATCATAATATCTTTTTATGCCCGAGTATATTCACATTTGCAGTTTTCTTCGCCTATTTTGTTACATGTTATTTGAAGATTTTTTTTTTTCATGATGGCATATTTTGGTATTGTAGTCTCACCTATTTCTTGATAATTTTGTTGAGTTATCGACACTTTTGTTGACCTCTTCACATGTTCTATTCAATGGTGAATGTTGGAATGTATCCCATATTGGTTGTTAAGCACATGTTCTATTCAACGGCGAAAGTTGATATGGAGGCTAAATTTTCGCAAAGATGCGTTTTTTATTAAAATGCCTAACGAAATATGGGAAGCTTAGCAGCAGCCAGAGAGACCAAACGTAGCACAAATCTGCTATTATCAGAGAGGTAAATAAGGTACTGACTGGGCTTGCGCGCTATAACTAACGTGGTGCTGTTCGCCTTCATTTGATCAAAGACCATCACGATATGCCGCGAAAAAGTGCCTGCTTTCTATTTTTTGGAAAAAAAACGCCCTCTTTCTTGACACATGAACATACCTGTATGAACTTTTTACGTAGAAGATCGTAGGTCTCTAATAGGAAATCATACAACGCGGAAGCAAATTCGATATACGTTCCGCTTCCAACTTTGGCCAACTTCGAGTTGATAACTAGGCCGATTACTGACCGTACTCTAGTGTGGTTTACTATGGAACAAGGTGACATGTTATTTTCTTGAGATTCCAACAAAAATAAATGATTCCAAAAGTAAACGCCTCACTATTTACACTTTTTATCGATTTGCATCGATTTAAGATTGTTACATGCCAAGCCTCCTTTCCCTCCGTATGATCGTTGTATATATGAAGGGTTATCTAGGATCATTTCATCCTTTCTCTGTGCACCCATTTGTTATTCATGTAAACAATATTTGAGTTGCCGTACATTCTATACGTCAACCATGGCATAAGATTGTGTAACGCATCATCAATGTGTGCTTGAAGAACAAATTGTCATAGTGGGAAGTTCTCGACTTATTGATGTTTAGCATGAAAATAAACCCGTGAAACCATTCAAACCCCTACGGTTATAATTCGTGCTCCGATGTTGACTCCATAATTGGTAAGAAATCAATGAAAAAAATTGAAAATATACAAGTTTACCCTGATGCAGGTATTGAGAGGTAAATATGGTAACAAAACTGACGAATCATTGCTTTTTATTCTACTGTGAATCGCAATCAGAAATGCTTGGCACTAGAAGTCAAAAAGAATAATGTTAACGACTCCTTAATATAATTCTACAACAAATGAATACATACAGTTCGAACTCAGAAATTCTTCAAAATTTTATCTGTGGACACACCATCGGCGATAAGCACAGATGTAACCTCCTGCCACAATGAAGATATCATGGGCATCAATTCCACAATAGAAAAATTCTGAAGGAAAGTGAGCAAATAAAAACATTTGTATGCCATGTGCAACTAAAATTCAGCATCAGACGCTAAAGTAGAAGAAAAGGTGCAACAAGTTTCAAGTTAGCTTTTTACAGTATGAATGTGATTCCTTAAAGTAAATAATGTAAGATTCCAAATTAGCTAGGTTTTACGCTTGAAAGGACTATGAGAACTTTGAAAAAAAAACTGACATTACCAGATTTCCAAATTCACATTCCTTCATCCAAACAACATCTCATTTAATGAAACTTCGGATTCTTGCTCTTACTCTACATGGATCAAGAGGATAGGTGATGCTACAGTAGAATTGATTATTTAATGGTAATTTTTATACCAGGACGACGGAAATTAGGCTGATAGCTGCTTGCAAATTTAGCACTATTTTCAGTGACCTTATCCACTGGACCTTTGAATTTGTACATATCCCTAGTATACATTCGATACTGTGATACCATTTCTCCAAGCAAACCATAGTTGACTTTTTTTTCTTCCCATCTCTGATTAACGTTAAGCAGTGTTAACATTTTAAAATGTTTTCAACTTTAAAGGGTGTGTTCAATCTTATATTTCAGAATAATTGTGTGACATAACCCATACTCCGTGGATTCACTTTTCTTTCACTTGCCAATACTAAAAACAAAGCGTGATGATTCTAAATGCAGCAAAACAAATTTATAATGCTTAAATTGTCCTCCTCCATGTACGGGTGAGGTTTAACCTAACAATGATGATTTCTTAAGAAGGCAAAATTGTTCTCCTCCACGTACAGGTGAGGTTTAACCTAATTATGATGATTTCTTAAGAAGGCATTATTTCCTATTAAGCTTGAGCATCAAGCAGACACTACAAAGATCTTATCCAATATTTTCAGATTGACCACATGGAAATCTTTTTTCCATTAATATATTTTTAAGATAACCTCCTAGATTCATTTACTGCTCCCTACAACCCCTGGGGTTTTATTTATTTATTTTTTTCATAATGAATTCAGGCAGGTCAACAAGCAGCAGTGTAAATGAAAAATACTTTAGAAATGGCCCAACCAAAATCACAACTGATATCAATCCTCAAAGTAGGTAGAAATAAAGACCCAGACCTAGCAAATAATCTCATATTAATTTTAGTTTGGACTTGATTCTAAAAAAATTACTTCTTCTGAATTAAAACTTAATAAAGTCAAATAAGTAATAGACAGCAAGAAGCCCCACTATCAACGTATGATGCTACACAACAATCACAAGGATAAGGGCTGCAACCACGAAATAAACATAACTGATCATAGGTGTGGCATTTAAGAAAGATGACCGACCTCAGTCATTTGTTTGTGTCCACAGAGCACTGCTCCTGTTGATGAAGGATCTGATATTTGCTTGGCCTTGGAAAATGCAGCCTGCAATATGTGATAGATAATTACCTGTTACATACAGTTACAGGTGATAAGCCTGAAAATAAAAAACAAAGGCATTAATACCTGTATGTAGCCTCTTTCACCTTTCCATAAATCATCCGGCTGTGACAAAACAGGGACAATTCTAACCCCAGTAGCTTCCCAATCCTTGAACCTATCCTGAAGGAGGAAAGAACAGAAATCAGTAACTAATCTGAAAGCCCTATGTGACGATAATAAGATTGTGATCCAAAGAGGTCCCATCTCCACACCTGATAAGCCATTCTCTGGAGATTTCGAGCCCCATAATAAAGTCTTACATCTGATCTTTTATTTGCACCAAATCCTGATTCAATAAGTGAGCGGATTGGACTGCACATAAGAGAGAAGATTAGAGAAAAGGATAATTTTTAACAATATTGATACAACTATAAAAATACATCAAATACAATGCAGAACAGAATTTCTTCATGTTCATTATCCCAGTAATTTGTTTTAGCAGAAGAGAGACCCCTGATCACTATAACAAAGTGGAAAGAAATATATCTATATGCCCAACGTGACAGGAATATTGCAAGATCATCCCAGTAAATATACATGATCCAAGTATTGCTTGAGCGTATTCAAATCAAAGACACCTTTTCTAGTTCTCTCTAGGCTATTTTCTGTTCTTCACTGTTGATCACTATAACAGAGACTACCGATCACTATAACAAAGTAGACAATAATATAGCTATATGCCCAACCAGACAGGAACATCGCAAGATCATCCCAGTAAATATACATGATCCAAATATTGCTTAGGCGTATTCAGATCAAAGACACCTCTTCTACTTCTCTCTCGGTTATTTTCTGTTCTTCTCCGTTGAAACCAATAAAGTAGGTATTATTGAGGTATAAGGGCACAAGATACCTTAAGTCCTTATAAGATATTGTGTCCTGGAATTATTTTTCGGATCCATCTTGCTCAGCCACAATCATGATTCAGAGGTGAATTTCTAGGGGAGATTTTTATGGAGGTCTCTTGTGGAAGCAGAGGTTTGTGCTGGAGCGTACTATTCATTGCACTAGGTGTGAATTCTAACACAAAAATGTAGATTATAAAAGGTAAAAAACGAAACATCAGCAAGAAAATATATTGAAGTTGCTTCATATTGTTAACAGCAAAAGAGTTGTTTTAGGTAAGCTCAGTCGCTTTCTACTGAAATGGATCAAATTCCACGCTATACATCAAGCAAAGTAGCAAATAGATTCAATTGTTTTCCACTTGCTGTTTCTTCAAACCATTCTCTCTTTCAAGCTAGTAGGGATATAATTGTAATGAACATGATGACTAAGCTTTGGGTGTTGATGAGCCACGTAACGTAACTTCATGGTTTTTACGTTCTCAATCCTGTAATCTTCATTATTATATGTTTGGGAGTTCACTTGAGGAAAGGAAGGGGGAAATTCCCCTTCCTTCCCTTCCCCTCCATTACACCCCAATTTGGGGTGTAAGATTTTAGCCAATTTTCTACTCATTCCCCTTCTCTATCCTCCTAAATGAAACTCCCAAACAAGGTTAAAATGAGATTTCTCTTCCCTTCCCCCTCTCTACCCTCCATCCAAACAGGTCATTAGGGGGGTTAGTCATCTAGAACTTAAAACTGGAATTGGGATAAATTATGGGATAAAATTTTAAGGTGTTAGTCACATAGAACTAAAAAATGGAATATTTTTTTATAATGTTAGTCAAGTAGAACTTTTGTAAAACTAGAACTATATTATTTTTTTTGGTGCGTTAGTCAAGTAGAATTCTACTAGAATTAGAATTGGGATAAAGTCAAGTAGAATTCTACTAGAATTAGAATTGGGATAATTGGTCATAATTATCCCACAAATTATACTACCTATATATATAACCATAAGTTCTCCTCTCTCAAATTATCCCACACATTGGAAAGAATAAAATTGGGGAAAAAAAAGTGAAATGCCGCCTCCCTCCCTCTTGGTTAGTTTCTCCGCCTAGAAAATTTCTCTGCCATGAAGTCAATCATCCGTTTATTTTTCTGTCTTTACTTTGTTTTTGTTTGTTTTTGTGATGATTAGATCTTTTATTATTATCTTCAAGATGTATTACTTTATTGATAGCTTTTTGACGTTAAATTACTTTATTATTGTTTGTTTGATCTAAGTTTTCTCTCTACAACAGTGGTTT